TTTTCCTGAAACCGTGCCTTGATTTCTTCTCATCAGATTCGCTGGGAGCGAAGGAGAGCGGCGTGACGGGGCTTGTGGTGGCGCCGTCCTCCTCCTCCTCCTCCGCTTCCGCCGCCCCTGCCTTCGATTTCGATTTCCTCGTCTCAATCTTCTGAAACGACGGCGACGGTTGCGACGAGGGCCGCGCCCCGCCGTCAAGTCTAGATCTCCTCTTCCTGCCGCCCCATTTGAAAATCGAGCGCGAATTGCTATCCTTGATGATGTCTGGAAGGTCGATTAGAATCTGCGCGACCACAATTTCGTCCGCCGTGAAGGAATCTAGCGAATGGCTCTGCTCGCCTCCGCCGCCGCCCATCGTCTTCCCTCCCGACCGTCCTCGTTAATTGAGAGAGAAATTTGAATTATTCTGTATTTCGTTTTTCCACTTTTTTTTTTGTGCTTTAAACTCTAAAAGGGATTTTGTGAGGAGCAAAAGCAGAGAGTGGTAATGGCGGAATTTGGAGATGAGAGAGAGAGGTTTAATTGACTTGGGGAGGAAGGGTTATGAAGAGAAGGGGACTTGCTGATGCCACGTGGCGAACAATTGGGGGAAGACTTGTTCCGCTAGGGTTTATGCCAACGTGGATTATGCGGAAATATTCGACCCTACTTTTTTTTTTTTTAAACAATTAGATCTTCATATGTTAATGAGCTTGAGTGTTTATAGTTCAATGGTATTCTTATCATGCCTATTCTTATAATTTTTCTTTTTCTTTTTTATAATTCGATCTTCATATATTGATATAAATCTAAGTGTATGTGATTCAGTGGTAAAATACTATGTTGTCATTGAAAAAGTCAAATCTATCGTTTATCCAATTTGCATATGTCGATTATGCGGAAAAATTCGATCATGCATATTCTTATTTGGTGAGACAAAATAATCGACTCATCCAAGTTGTCGGTCGAACCGCCTCATCTCGATGCGTGAGAGTTCGGCCGTCTCGATCGCCTTCGTCTTCAAGAACCGGTTCGACCTGCAAAGCGCCGGGACAAGACCTGGCGTAGACACTTCGACGCTCAAGTCAGAAAACAGATATTTTGATCGTGTATCTTAAGTAACCTTAAGAGCTTAGGATTAGAAAATGAATCTGGTCCCTTATTTATAAGGGATTTAATGACTTACACCCCAAGATAATGAGTTTCCTCAACAAATCAGAATTTCGATGTTCGTCAATAACTGTGTAGATATACACCAACTTTCATGAATATCTTTAACTAATACCGTGTATCTCCTAAATTAGGCTCTAACCTCCTTGGACCGGCCTTATCCGAGCTAACCGGTCAGGCTGATCCATCGAGTTATTTTTGGTGCTACATCATTATCATTTCTTTACTATTGGATCTTCATATATTAATATGAGTATGAGTATCTGTCTTGCTTGCTCTCGTTGATAGAGTTGAACGTATCATTTATACAATTTGCATAAGTCTTGAACACTGTT